CGCTGGCCCTCACGCGCAAAACGCACTCACTCAATTCACGCACGCTCCCACGCTGTCTGAGAGCAACGACTCAAGCAGCCAGCACCACTCCACGCCGAGACCTAGGACTAGCTCCCTCTCTCACCCAGCTTATAACCCCTACTACAAGCACTTCGGTGCAAAGAATACAAGATCGATCTCCTAGACTGGACGTAGGGCACCGATTGCTTGAACCAGTATAAACCTTGTGTCTCTTTATGTCACCATCCGGGATTAGAGGCACGTAGTTCACATTTACTGGTTGGTTGAGGACCCCGATTCAAAACACCGACAACACTGTTGGCTAGCTGATTTGAATTGGCTGAAACCAACAAACGAATAGGCTGAGAGGGAGCAGTAGCTAACTATGTTATATAAACATGGTATTATATTGACTATATATGCGATGTCACGTCATATAGATAAAGGCACAATCGCACCAGTAGACTTTATTATTAATCATTTTTAGGCCTTATTGGAGCACGGATCTATTTTTCATGTTTTAATCTTTTTATATATATAAAATTAAATTAATTAATCTTTATTAAAAAAACGTAATTCAACCTGGACACGACGGAGGGAGTACTACAAACTTTATGAGATTTTTGTGTTCCAAGCAGAGACAGTCCACCGTTCCTGGTCAGAGGCGTTCGACGATAACGTCGCGTACTGGGTGGAGCCTAGAGCGAGCAGATGCAGGGGGGGCCACCAGGCCGGCAGGCCCAGCCCAGCCGCCCGGGGATATAGAGAGAACCAGCGAGAGGTCACAGGTCAGTGAGGTCACGAAGCGGCCGCGGCGGAGCGGAGGAAAGGGAGGGCGCAGGAACGCAGGGTCACATGACCGACGTGAAGGGCGCCCATGCCCTGCGGATGCAGTGCAGAGGTCGTCCTGCTCCTGCCGCGGGAAACGTGCATGACGACGACCCCTGCTCTGTTCCCTGTTCCCGCTGCGCGTGCCGTGGCCCCACTGGTACTGGTACTGGCACCGCCACCTCTGAGGAGTCTCTGACCTCTGCCCGCGGCCCCGCCTCATCACTCACCTCGGTAGCCCTGCTGCCCAATGGGCAATGGGGGACGCAGCCTGCCGCTCGACGACGACGCGGCCCCACCGCCGCGACCGCGCGCGCTTTCCCGCACCCAAGCATCCAAGGCTGAAATGGCGGGAAACAACTAAAGATAGCAACGGGCCCCGATACCCGATACCCGACGTGTATTTAATCTATTAGAGGATGGGATGAGATCATATCTTTACTCGTGGGCATCTAAATGGGTGAGAATCCATCCCCGACGGGTATAGCGGGTACGGAAACGTTCCCTGTTTATCCGTCCCCGTTACCCGTTGAGGAACCCGGCTATTTTAAGCTGTCATGCGAGTATTATGCCCAAAGAAACTCAACATAAATATTTTTGCCAAAATCTGAATAATCATATATATAGTTTGTGTGTTCTAGAAACCCTAGTTCAATTTTTCCTCACCATCTCTCCCAGCAGCATAAGCACACCTGCCTCACGAGTGCTCGTGCCCCTCGCTTCCTCAGTTCGGTCTCTGCCACCTTTGCTCGTCCTCCTCGCAACCTCGCTCCTTCTTCTCGGCATCTCCGAGACTCCGACACTTATACCCGAGTGAAGAAGAAATGTCTCTGATTGCAAAGCTACGACCCCAAGTGTCTTTGTTTATCGGGTATCTATTACCCGACCGATGCCCGATGGGTACGGAGATGGATAAAAATCTATACCCGAAACAGTTAACGGGATAGAAGAAACAGTTAACGGGATAGAAGACGGAATGAATTCTCCGTTGTAGGAAAAAGAACGTTCCGGCCATACCGACGGATACATCCCGTTGCCATCCTGAGAAACAACCCACCCGGCCGGACGAAATCATGCAACGCACTAGGGCCTACTCCCAGTGGGCACTAGCTAGCGAGCGCTCGCTCGGTACAGGACGTGTGCGTGTGCGTGCCCAGCCCATGTACTGTGACCTGTACTGTATCCTCTTGCAGTACCGTACGCACCCCGTCCGTCGTGGATCGCGAATCCACGTACAGCCCAGCCCGTGCAGGTGCAGCCGCTGGCGGTACGTTTACTACGCGTGTGTGGCTCCGTTGTTACCGCCCCCTCTTATGTATGGGAGTCATGGATGATGGTGAAAAGAACACGGCGATCACGATGAAGATTGAAGAAGCATCTTCTCGATCTGGTGCTACTGTGATACTGTATTCCCTTCTGCGTACTGCCTGCCCGTGCATGCCGCAAGCGCAATGCAAGCAAACTCGCTTTGGGCTTTGGCCGTCCCGTGCATACTAGCAGCTCGTTCGGTTTTGTTGGTTCCGAGCCCCTGGTTCCAAACGAGTTTTTCGCCGGCGCCCCTTTCTGCCACACGCTGCTCCCCTGCTTTATGATGGCCATGCCACCACGGCGGCACCACCGCAAGTTCTTCGTTGCACGGGCCGGTGAAGATTACTGCTAGTATGTATTGAAGGGATGGGCAGTCGGCAGCGGCGACCACCCACCACCACCACCGTCCACCGCTCTCTACTCTGTCCTGCCTTCACGGAGTAGTGGGGCCAGCGACGCGGCGGTAAATGACCCTCTTCACGTCGGGCCGTCGGGGGAGAGGACGCCGGAGATTTACCACAAAAGGCTCATTTTTACTACTGCCTTTATTTATTTATCTTCACCTCCAACCACCTTCCGACCTTCGGTTTTTTTTTAAAGTCCTTGGTTGTACTATGCAAGGGTACGTGCTGATGCATTATGCGTCCCGTTCGTTTAATCTGGCTAGGCTTATAAGTTATGATTGAAATTATTGTTGACTGATTTAAATTGTTCGTTGCCTGATAAGTTATGGCTTATAAGTCAAATACGACCTAGTGCACAGGCCGATAGATGGCCCCCATCGTGCTCTCTGTGGAGTTCATGTCATTGTCATGTGTTGTTAGCCACAACACCGAATGATTTTAGGCAGGGGCAATGTCACACGATGCCAATGTTTTGCTAGACTTCCAGTGGTGACCGTTTGTTTTCTTTCACGTGTATAATGGTGTTTTCGGACTTTGATTGACCCTGTGTGTGCGTGTGCCACGTGCTCCCTCCGCCGTGCTGGAAAGAAGTCAGGTCTCGCGTCCTCGACAGTCAAATAAATTTAAACTTAACTAGACTTAAATAAAAATAATGTTGATAATTATGTTTTCAAAATAATTTACTACGAAATATATTTTACAATTTTTCTAGTGGTATAAATACAAGAAAAATGCTTATATGTTGCAACTTAATCCAATACGTATAGGAATCGGCCATCGTGTCAGCGCTAGATGCAAGTTGTTTGCGAAGATCATGAGTCCGGTGATGCATGAGATATGGAGGGCACGGTCAAATACATATCGGAATCAGACATTGTATTTTCATTATCGCTAGATGCAAATTATTCTAAGTCGTGACGTGTATAAGTCATAAATCCGTGTCAAGTAAAAAAAGCGGACAGAACAAACTCTCTCCTATCCCAGTAGTTGGGGGGAGGGGTGGATGGAAAAACGGACGTAATTTTGACTCTTAATATTATCTATATAGGTATAGAAATATATACGTATATAGATATAAATTAGATTGGATTACAAATAAGATCGGTTAGTTGGATCATCAGATGAGTTTTATTTCAAATGAAAATTACTGACGGAAGTAACTATTTATTAAGAAAAGACAAAGAGGTAAAAGGCACATAATACAATATTTATATTAAATTTTACTGTTTAAAGTCACGAAACTGAACGCAGGGGAAGCAGAAACGGGGAAAAAAATAAAAACAATCCGGCAAAGGCGTTTCCAGAAAAAAGGCCACGGAAACTTGATGAATGAAGTCACGAAACTGAACGCAGGGAAAGCGGAAACGGAAAGAAAAAGGAAAAAAAACAAACCGGGAATGGGTACAGACTTATAAATAAATTTGATCAAATCTAGAATTATTAGATTACTTGAGAAATGAGATTTCTATTCTTTTTGGGTAAAGGAAGTACTTAAAAACTTGCCAAAGTTTTCTCTCGAGTGTGGCGAGCAATTTGTTTGCCAGGCTTCATGGCAAAATTTGCCTACTTTTGTTTCTTTGATTCAAGATGCACGCTTTAGTTTGATCCCTATGCTACTCCCTCCTAGTTTTACTTTCATTCTAAGTCATTTTTTAATCTTGACTAAGCTTATAAAATTTACTGCCATTTATAGTATCAAATAAATGCTCTATTAAGGCATATTCTTATTGCTAATTTAAATAGAACTTATTTTTTGCCGTAAATGTTTATGTGCTTTTTTTTTTAAAACTCTATCAATGTTAAATAAAAGTTTGACTTAGGATACAATGAAATGATTTATATTCTAGAATAGTTGGAGTATCAGTTTTATAATAAGGACCTAATAAATAGATTTCTCGATTGACACCAATAACATTAAGAAGTGTTTAGTTGGTTCAACAGTAACGTAAACGTAAATGAATTTAGTTGAATTGCATTTCTGGCCGGTAAGGCCTGTGGCTTTAAATCGTTTGCGTCGGCGTTACCGTCGGTAGAATCAAACAGATCATAAATTGTTGAGCTATATATCTAAAAGCACGAGACTTTTGTTTTATAACTCACGTACTGTAGCTACTAGGAGTATACTGTTAATTACAGAGAACATCCCCTAATCCACTGGCTGTACGTGTTGCTCAAGCTGGTAGTAGCTTAGCTGTCGCTGTTCGCTCTCGATAGTCACATCGTCATCGTCCAAAAGCACAAAAAAAACCAAGTTTGGGGTAATGGTACTTTTACTTCAAAAAGTCTGGGGTAATGGTACTTTGCAGTATCATAGGACAGTATCATATTTGAACTAGAGGTGATGTGCAAATATCTAAACGAAGGGGGTTTGCCGTGAAAGTTGTCGGTTCCTTTTGTTAAAGGAAGGGGCAGCTGCTGGGGAAGAAGCCAAGGGAAAGCGAAAGAGAACAGAGCTTGGCAATGGAGCTTCCATGGGGAGTGCTGCTGCTACTGGTCCTCTCCGTCTCCTCCTCGGCTGCAGCCACGCTCGCCGTCAGTGCTCCGCCCCCAGTGCCTGCTCCTCGTCATGCTCAAGACGCTGAAGGTGACATTGTGCTTGCCTCTCATTTCAACACGCTGTTTTTTCTGTTCCAATCTTGCGTCTGTTGTCCCATGCCGGGGGCTCGGGGTCATTTGGCTGCATTCTTTTAGATCTGCATGCTGTTCTGCCAAATGCAATGCATTTACAGTAGTCCACGCTTGATCTCTGAAGAGGAAACAGAGAACGGCCTGGGTTTGTTTCGCCATTTTTGTTTCATCTAGTTCTTTCACTGTTATATGCTTGCAAGCACGAAACCTCCTGTTTTACTGCTACAGATGTCTGTGCAGGACAGCAAATCTGGTCTAGTACTCTAGTGCTACATTTTCATTCATGACTATGTTACTTTTCATCATCCATCAGTTCACATTTTGGGGTTTCCAGTCCAAGAATGCTGTGATTATTTTGTTCCAAGAATGTTCTGTCAAGTTGTCCCTGTGCACAACCTATTGTTTTCCTTGATGTATATCTGATATGAGACTCTCTTTTTTTAAAGGAAAGAATGTTCTGTCCAATGCAGTACATTCAGAATAGTCTATGCTTGATCTCTGAAGAGGAAACAGAGAACGACCTAAGCGTTTTGCTCCATTTCTGTTTCATCTTGTTCTTTCACTGTTCTATGCTAGCAACCTAAGAGTGTTCTAGTAATGTATTTTCATTGCTTTTGAAAGATCCGGACAAATGGTTGGTCATTGTTTGAGTTTGGGCGTGCAGAAGACTTAGCGAAAGATCTGATTTTTGTTGATGCATCCTTGGTCACACACTCACAGGCCTGCTCATCAATGGCAACTTCGAGACGGCGCCGCGGAAGCTGAACAAGACCCTCATCGTGGGCCGCCACTCGCTGCCGGGGTGGACGGTGCAGGGTCACGTGGAGTACGTCTCGGGCGGGCCGCAGCCAGGGGGCATGTTCTTCGCGGTGCCGCACGGCGTGCACGCGCTCCGCCTCGGCAGCCGCGCGTCGGCGTCGCAGAACGTGACGGTGCGGCCGGGCGCGCTGTACGCGCTGACGTTCGCGGCGACGCGGACGTGCGCGCAGGACGAGTCCGTGCGCGTGGCCGTGTCGCCGTCGCTCTCGGCGCCCGCCGACGTCGCAGTGCGCACGCTCTACAGCGGCGCGTCCGCCGACACCTGGGCCTGGGGGTTCCGCGCCTCCTCCCCTGTCGCGCAGGTCACGTTCGCCAACCCCGGCGTGCAGGAGGACGCCGCGTGCGGCCCGCTGCTGGACGCCGTCACCATCAAGGAGCTGCCGGCGCCGTACCCGACCAAAGGTAACGACGAGACCACGGCCACGGATCACCTTCTCTTTCGGTTCGGGGACTGCAGATCGATTGTAATCTCAATGACGAAGGACGAATCTTTGGTCGCATCCGCATGCAGACAACCTGATCAAGAACGACGGGTTCGAGATCGGTCCCCAGGTGCTGAAGAACTCGACGGTGGGCGTGCTGCTTCCCCCGAAGCAGAAGGACGCGACGTCGCCGCTGCCCGGGTGGATCATCGAGTCGCTCAAGGCGGTGCGGTTCATCGACGCGGCCCACTTCTCGGTCCCGGCGGGGCAATACGCGGTGGAGCTGGTGGCCGGGCGGGAGAGCGCCATCGCGCAGGTGATCCGCACCGTGCCGAACCGCGCCTACAACCTGTCGTTCGCCGTGGGCGACGCCAAGAACGGCTGCCACGGGTCCATGCTGGTGGAGGCGTTCGCGGGCAACGTGACGCAGAAGGTGCCGTTCGAGTCCGCCGGGAAGGGTGGGTTCAAGGCGGCGGCGTTCAGGTTCGTGGCCGCCGGCGCCCGGACCCGCCTCACCTTCTACAGCTCCTACTACCACACCAAGGTCACCGACGGCGTCTCGCTCTGCGGCCCCGTGCTGGACCAGGTCAAGGTCGTGCCCGTCAAGGCGTAGTGAATGATTCGTGAGAGCTCCGTCCGAGTGACGGTGTGCTGTGCTCTCGTCGTCTGTAGGCTGTAGCTGTGCTTCGTCGTGAACTCGTGATTTGGCATGGTGGGTTGGGACAAGTGTGGACGAACTCTGGACCCTTCTAAATCTGATCATGCTGTGCAGAACTTATGCATAATGTTGCGAAATTTGGTTGCCCACTTTTTTGTTCTTTCCATGTTTGATGTTTGTTCATGTCCTCAAAGTCTGAAGCAGACATGCCACGATTGCGGCCACACAAGCGGATAATCAGGGTTGCCGCCCACCCGCGGTTGCCGGAGGCATGTACCCGTGTAACCGTGTTCAATCCGGCATTGAAGCAATTGTCTGATTTGAGATGTTTTTAAGGTAGTGCTCCAATTTTCCCGTCTAGTACAATGTATCCACTGATTTTTAGCATGTTCGCTGGTTGTATTTGACTTATAAATCATGGTTTATCAGTTAATAAATAATATATTTCTCTCACCAAATCAGTCAATAGTACTTTTAGTCATGGCTTATAAGTCAAACAAGCAGGACGTTTATTATGGTCAGGCCATCCAAGTGCTTCCCCAATAGAATTTGGCACTGTCTGATTTGATATGTTAGACAGATCTTCACGCCTACTGGCCATGCCTCCCGCCTGTTTGCTGGTTTGTATACGATCGTGCATTATAAACTGTAATAGTATTTTTTTCTTACACCAAACCAGTTAGCAATAAATAATTCATGATCGTTTAGTTATTGAAACGAACAGGCTGCTCGTTCCCGAGCCACATGTCAAGACTACCATTCTCCATGTACTCGTGTATAAACAATCGTTCATCGACACCAACAAAGTAACAAGTAGAGGAACAATGTTTCACCTTTCCAATTGTCTCCATTCCAGCTAGGAACGGGCGATCACCTTGGAACTGATAGCAGATACTCGTAGAGTCGTAGCTGAATGCTGATAGTGCCATGCATAGTTTGCAATGTGCACACAAACAGAGTTTTTTTTTTCTAAAGAAAAGTTAGCCACCATGAACTCTTCAGGAAATAATGCCCTGTAGACAGCGCCAAAAGAATTCATGTTCCTGTTCAAATAGAATTTATCAATCAGGAGTTCCTACAATTTGTACATCCTGACCAATTTTACATATGCTTGAAGTTGCTATTATATAAAAAAAGTATAGTGCAATAAGAGCTATTGTATTGAAGAATAAGTAATTTTTTAAAAGGAGAAGAGGCCTTGAAAACATTTTATTTTGAAAAGTAATAAAAACTTTTCATAACAACCAATTGGAACCTGTAAACTGACAGGTTTCCAAATCTAAAGACAAGAAAACGTGTGGCCAGGCTGCCCACACGGCGCGCCACGTCGCCAGCCGTTCGATCGGCCGCATCGACGGCCCAGATCGGACGAGGCGCGATCATTTTACGAAAAAACCCTTATGTTTTTGGGAAATCAACCCGCGCTCCAGAGGCCCTCTCAGAATATTTTGCAAATAACACCTCAGATAATTTTCAAATCAACCCGTGGTCCAGAACGGATGAGCTCCAGTTTTTTTACAAAAAAAACCCTTTTATCAAAAATCAACCCGCACTCCAGAGACACTCTCAGCGATTTTTTCGAAAACCTCCTCAGATTTTTCTCAAATCGAAATACAGGCCCCCTTGATTATATCTTTTTTTTCAAAAAAAAATACGTGTGGCCAGTGGCCCGCGTGCATGGGCGCGCCCGAAGAACTAGTTACATTTTAGAGCAGTTTGGTCTTCAGTCTTCACCAATGTGAAGTATTCTCTCGTACCACGCTGCAAACGGGCCAGACCCAACACAGGTTCATCTGAAGCGCCGCTGTCCTACACCGCGGCGGTGGCCCGGCTCCAATCTTCGACGCACACTGGTTCCTGTCATCTGCCGACTGAAGCAGAGTACTGCCCGAGTCAAGCGTCTTAGTGGGCCACAAGCCGGGATCGATTGCTTTGTGTATGGGCCGTTAAACAAAATTCGAAGGGATTACAGAAAACGGGCCTAAGAACTGTAATCCTCGAATGTTCACTGGATTCCCGCCCCAGCCGCAGCATCTCCGGGAAAAGAAACCCTAGCTCCATCCCTCCAAATGAATACCTCCTCGCCTCCACCACCGCCACTCTTCGCGCCGCCGCAGCCCCCAAACCCTCATCCCCCCCATCACTCTCCGGAGCACCCCAACCACCCCTCCCTCACCCGGCCATGGCGGAGCGCGGCGGCGAGCGTGGCGGCGAGCGCGGCGGGTTCGGCCGTGGCTTCGGGCGCGGCGGGCGCGGCGACCGTGGCGGACGCCGCGGCGGGCGTCGTGGTCCGCGTCAGGAGGAAGAGAAGTGGGTCCCCGTCACCAAGCTCGGCCGCCTCGTCAAGGAGGGCAGGATCAACAAGATCGAGGAGATCTACCTCCACTCGCTCCCCGTCAAGGAGCACCAGATCGTCGAGACCATCGTCCCGGGGCTCAAGGACGAGGTCATGAAGATCACGCCCGTCCAGAAGCAGACCCGCGCCGGGCAACGCACCCGCTTCAAGGCCTTCGTCGTCGTCGGCGACGGCGACGGCCACGTCGGCCTGGGAGTCAAGTGTGCCAAGGAGGTGGCCACCGCCATCCGCGGCGCCATCATCCTCGCCAAGCTCTCCGTCGTCCCCGTCAGGAGGGGTTACTGGGGAAACAAGATCGGACCGCCGCACACCGTGCCCTGCAAGGTCACCGGCAAGTGTGGCTCCGTCACCGTGCGCATGGTGCCCGCGCCCAGGGGTTCTGGCATCGTCGCCGCGCGCGTGCCCAAGAAGGTGCTGCAGTTCGCTGGCATTGAGGATGTCTTCACCTCGTCCCGTGGCTCCACTAAGACCCTTGGCAACTTCGTCAAGGTACTACTACGCTCTTATTCATATTATGATGCGATGCTTCTATTATTCTATACATTTGCAATACTGATATCTGAATGAGCTTATGTGAAATGTTGAATTTGTGGTTCACTTTATCAGATGGGATCAGTTAACTTGGTACTTCAGAAATTGTTGTTTGTATTTTAATTTATTCCTTATAGTCTAGAGAGATGGCCACTAATGTGATATGATAATTCTATTATTTTGATTACGAAATTGCCGCGGACACTGACTATATAGTGTTGTTATGATTTACCTAATTCGTTCAGAGAAATTTCTAAAATTGACATCTAAAGCCTTCCAAGATTTGACACCCAGACCAGCATGTCAATGACTCAAGCTAACTCTAAACGTCATTGTGATATGAGTGTTAAATGTTGAAAGGCTTACGGATTGGATGCTAATCATCAAAATCTCTTATTCATGTTACTAGTAGAATCTGGTTCCAATTCATATTTAGATGCACTAGTTTTGCTTCAATTTAAGACTGGTTAGACATTTATTATTGGCTGTCTACTTTTCTAGCACCAGATTCTACCTTCTTAATGGCCCGTATTGGAATTTTGTATGAACTTAGTTTTTGAATAATGTAGTATCTAAAGTTACAATCTTTCAAAAAACAAGTTTTAAACTTACCTAACATCATTCTTTAGTTACATGTACTTAGCTTGTGAGTCATACGGTATCGAAAATTCTAAACCAACTTAAGTCTGTTCTGTGGTTACACTAACAGTTGACCTATTAGCATATATTACCTTTTTTTTGGTACTGTTGCAATTTAATTCGTACATTCTTATATAGATGTCTATTCAGTGCCATTTAGTAGTCATTTGGTTTGGTTACGTGCAGGCAACCTTTGACTGCTTGATGAAGACCTATGGCTTCCTTACTCCTGAATTCTGGACTCAGACCAACTTCTCCATGACGCCATTCCAGCAGTTCACGGACCTCCTGGGAAAGCCCACCAAGGGTCTTGTGCTTGAGGCCCCAACTGAGACAGTAGAGGCGTAGGATGGTTGAGTGAAGAGCTCTGCTCGTTGGGAGTTGTCTAAATGCACTTTCTATATTTGGCCTGTTCGGCTGATCCAGTTTCAGCTGATTTCGGATGATTCAATAGTGTTCTGTGAGAGAGAATAAGCTGAAATAAGCTGAAACAAGGGGAGAACAGATTATAGTTAAGAACTGTGTGAGTCAACTTTGGGTTTTGTTCTGCCCTAGATGTTGTTCTTTACTGTCAAGTTTTGGATTATGGTACTTACTATGGTACTTTTTATCAGTGAATGTTACATAATTATCTCGTGATAGTCTTTTCACGGTGAAGGCTTTTGGAGGCTGGTGTTGGTTGACTTGAATGCAGTTTTGCTGTTAAGTGCCTTTGTGCTGTGAATGTGTTGTGAGACCTTACTAGTCTGTGCGCTTTCTCTTTAGCAGAACTGGAGGCAGTAGTGATGATGCTCGACTGCCTACTGCTCCATTGTCATTTGTTGCAGTTTACTTAGCCTGATTCTGAGTGTTTCATAGCTGGTCATCTGATTTGTTTGATATATGTATCCTTATCCGGTTCTGATTTTTTTGTGTTTTTGAACGGGTTGCCATGTTTTAATTTGCCTGTGTCTGGATTGTCATGTAAAGTTTTGGATTGTGGCATGTACTACCCGTTTCATGAGTGTTACATAGCTATGCCATGAGACTTTTACCTGTGTGCCATTATAAAAGATCGTAATCTTTCATTCTGGAAAAATTCAATCGGTCTTGGCGCCACTACTCCAACTTTTTGGGTCCTCCATGCCACTTCGTCGATTCGAGGGCTCTATGACGTCAAGCAATGAGTGTGAAAAGAGCGAAAATGCCCTTAAGTTCAAATATGTTATTAATTTTTTTAAGCATCTTAACGACTTCAAATGAAAAAACTCAAAACTAGAAAGTTGTAGATCTCGTCGAGATCTATAATTTTCATATAAAATTATTTTCATTTAATTCGCAAAAAAAATATGATTTGATATGATTAATATATCTTAGAAAAATCATCATATTTTTTTTGCGAAATTAAATGAAAATAATTTTTATATGAAAATTATAGATCTCGACGAGA